TGCAAAGTCAATTGAAGTTGCATTGTTAACTGATGATAGTTCAATCTGTTACCTCGTCCAACACACATCTCATGGACATTTTTACTTGTGTTTCAACAGTTAACAATGCAACTTCAATTGACTTTGCACTCTCCAACTAAAGAGTGCAATCAAAATTTCTCCCTCTTATTCTTTTGACTAATACTCTACTAACATAGAGATATTGGCCAAACGAACGATACGAGATCAGGGATAATTAAGTAACAGATCACTTGAAAAGGGTCCAAATCCAGGACCGAAACGTAGTTTTTATAATAAATAAAGGCATTGGCCAGTGTAGGTCGTTTATGTAAAATACTCATCATTGTTTCGAATTGCTGGCGATAGCATATTTACCCCAAAGTATTTATTATTAATTATCATTAATAATAACAATAATGACTACTTCAATATTATTATTTTATCATTGATCCCGACCCATAGACATAGAAAATACACCCAGCATGCCCATTCATTTCCTTAAGAAAAGTTGTCACGAACATAACAGACAGAGAGGCAAAATAGAGAGGCCGCAGGGGGGATGAGAGGGAGCGAAAGACAAAATATTGTCTTGCGCAGACAATGTTTTGCCTCTCGCTCCCTCTCATGCCTCCGCGGCCACTTATTTTGCCTCTCTGTCTGTTATGTTCGTGACACGTTGGGAACACGTATACTGGGTCTATCTTCTATGTCCCGACCGACGCCCTGGACGCTCTGATAATATACTCTGTACGCGGATATATTTGGCAGATTAAATAGTGTTAGTTCTACGTGCTTAAAACTCGGATTACTTTAAAAAATCCCCCCGGACGTCCGCGGACGCTAACGAAACTAGGGCAAATCCGGAGAAAACCGGACGGATGGCAGCCCTATGCGAGACACATGAAGTTTGTTTGCAAACTTTACGGGTAAAAGTATATTCTCAGTCGCGAGAAAAAGTAGTCAGAGCGATTATTGATACGGCCTCGCAACGGTCATATGTCAGTACTAAGACCGTGCAAGATTTAGGTTACGTTTCCATTGACAGATTAGAAGTAACGCATTCTCTATTCGGTGGAATTAGATCGGGACGTGAAACTCATAATATGTTTAAGATACGTGTTAAGAACTTGGATAATTCGTACGCGTGTAATTTCACAGCAATGGATCAGGAGGTTATCTGTGGCCCGATTGCGAATATTAAGAGAGGTGCGTGGACAGAAGAGTTGCGAGCCAACAATATTATCCTCACAGATGTAGGAGGCGGTAACTGTCCTATAGATATTCTTATAGGTGCGGATGTAGCCGGCAAATTATTAACAGGTAGGAAGTATAATCTAAAGAACGGATTGACGGCTATTGAAACACATTTAGGTTGGACAGTATTGGGAAAGCTGCCGACAGAATCCGTCAGAACGGACACTGCGGTGACAGTCACAACGATGTTCGTGCAGGAGGCCAATCTATGTGATTTGTGGCGATTGGACGCAATCGGCATTACGGACCCTATCGAAAGGGCCGCTAGAGAGGTAAGGGAAGAACGAACTCGAGAATTTCTTGCAAAAACGGCCAGACTGAACGCTGACGGACGATACGAAGTCAGACTACCGTGGACGGAGGATCTTGTGCCTGTTCCCAGCAATTTTGAGATTGCACGTAATAGACTGGGAAAATGCCTTGACAAACTTAAAACAAAGAACATGTTAGAAGCGTACAACGATGTCTTCAAGGGGTGGCTGGCGGAGGGTATTATCGAAAGGGTTCCCGCTAGTGAAATGGATAATTTCGGTCATTATTTATACCGCCCCGTAGTAAAGGAAAAACAGCACAACAAAATTGAGACCCGTATTTGACGCATCGGCTTGTAAAAAGGGGTATCCGTCTGTAAATCAGTGCCTAGAGAAGGGCCCCAATTTAATCGAATTAATACCGTCGTCCCTAAATAGATTTCGGGAGGGAGAAATCGGAGTGATATTTGATATAGCAAAAGCATTTTTATAGATAGTAAGGAGGATCGAGATTATCTTCGTTTTTTGTGGATTAAGAACGGCGAAATAATAGTTCTGCGTCACTGTCGGGTGGTATTCGGATTAGCATGCGGTCCCTTCCTATTAGCCGCGATTATCGAACTACACTTGCTGACCTTCTTAACGGACACAGACGAGAATAGAAGATCAGCAGAGAAGCTGAAACAATCATTTTATGTTGATAATTGTGTCACGAGCGTAGATTCGCAGGAGGAGTTGAAAACGTTCGTGTCAAAAGCCACAACGATTATGAGGGCTGGTGGTTTCGAGCTTCGCGGTTGGGAGAATTCACATGACTCTTTAACTAACAACACTACCTTCGTTCTGGGGATTTTATGGAACAAGAAAAAGGACACTCTTTCTATTAATCCGCGGGTTTTAGAATTGAACATCCCAGACGTTGTTACGAAAAGAGTAATTCTATCCGCGACGCACAAGGTTTTCGACCCCATAGGCTTTACATGCCCTACATCGGTATTACCTAAAATAATACTTAAAGAACTATGGACAGAAAAGATCGATTGGGACGCGAAGGTTGCGGATAGTCAAGCCAACAGATTCTTGAACTGGTTGAAGGACTTACCGACGCTAAATAAAATTGAAATACCACGAAAACTAGGTAGGGGTGACTTGACATTACACACATTTTGCGATGCGAGCGGTTCCGCTTATGCAGCAGTTGTTTTCGCGAGAATTGAACGAGAGAACACGGTAAATGTTAGACTTTTAAGTGCCCGATCGCGCATAGCGCCCGAGAAAGCGACAATCCCACGTCTCGAGTTAATGGCGGCAACCATAGCCTTCAGGCTCCACAAATTCAGTGACCAAATCTTTAACGCGAAAGGTTTCAAAGACGACGTTTTGGTCCGATTCTACTACGGTATTGGCGTGGATTAAACGGGATATCTAATGGGGAACGTTTGTCCGTAACAGAGTAAAAGAAATACGATTATTTAGCGAACGGGATGAATGGAGATATGTCCCAGGAGATTTAAATCCTGCGGACCTCCCTTCGAGGGGCTGTAATCCCACGCAATTAGTACAATCCAAGTGGTGGCTGGGTCCTTCATGGCTTTATGAGTCAGAAATGGGATGGCCCTTGATAAACAGTGTTTGCAATGAAAAGGAAATAAAGAGCGAAATTAAGAAATTGTCTTTAGTACAGACTGTTAACACGGAAACTTCCAAGTTTAAAGTCGACAATTACTTCTCGTCTTACAATCAATTAGTACGATTCTTAGCGTGGATGCAGAGATTTTTTATAAACTGTAGGGAAGCGCGACAATCCTACAACAGACAACATATCTAAAAGATCGTTTCTATCGGAAGAAGAACGAAAGAGACTACGTTTGACTTTCGGGGAAATAAAAGCGACAGAAATAAAATTATTGAAATATCTACAAGTTCAAATGTTTGTGAGACCACGTCTAAAAAGAAATTATCTTCCTTTAAGACAATGAAAAACGAAGAGGGTCTACAGGGTGAGTCAGTATAAACTTTTACCATTGAAAATACAAGTTCGGAATAAAATTCTAAGATGAATTTTCCTCTTGTAAAACTTTGGTAAAAGCTTATTTTTCGAGATATAAATAAAAATTGTTACCCTATCACACGTCGAATACAGGAGGTAGGCAGGGGCGGCGCAACTCACAGTCAGGCGCGGGCTCTTTCGTGGGGTGGCCGTTGCCGTCAGCTTCTCTCCGGTTCACTCACTCACTCACTCACTCACTCACTCACTCACTCACTCACTTACACTCACTTACACTTGGAACACACACGTTTATCACTATTATTAATCGCTATCGATTAATCATTCGGCGACTAATAATCCTTGAAAGACAACCAAACACGTGTTTCTTCCAAGGATTGTCAGTCGCGACACAACAAGCACTCACTTCACGACAAGAAACTAACCACATTTAATTTGTATGTACGCACAGCAAAGGCGATTTGTAAACTAAACGCACGAAAGCGTTTCAGATTTGCACCGCCGAAACATACGAATCGATACATACATACGATACATACGAATCGCTTTCGCTGTGTTTACATACCACTGCTACAGAAAAGTGCATTTCTCTGGTTGCACTGTAAGTACAGAAAGGTGTTGAGGTGCAACGCCATCCCGTAGACTCCCGACGCGTCGGTACGCGTCGGTACGCGTCGGGAGTCTACGGGATGGCGTTGCACCTTTTCTGTAGCAGTGGTATGTAAA